GGGGGGGGGGGCGTCGTCCTCATGTTTTGCATGCATTTGTGGTTGCAGACCATTGACCGCGCGTCCTCGAGAGGATGGAGCGGGGGGGCACATCTAATTCTCCTGTCGCGTGCTTGTTTCGAGCATGTAGCGATAAGTCGTCTGCTTGCGTCCTAGCTAAGGAGGCATTTGTTTTTTCAGCGGGAAGCAAAAAAAAGAAACGAGGTCGCTTTCTAGACCGCACAGGGGGGGGGCGCAGAGAAAAAATATAACAAACGCGCTCCAGCCTCCTGTGCGTTCAAGTGTGTGCGCTTTTACCTTTTGTACGGAGAGGGGTGGACACGTTTTTTTCATCGGCAAGGAGTATTTACCGCGGTTGACGATGTTGAAAGGGACACATACATACACATGCGCTTTCAACCGCACTAAGACTGACGTCTTTTCATTGGTCAGCCTGTTGCCGCGGTCGATCCTAATTGTAAAAGACACACAAAAGCTCGCGTATCTCACCCCCAAACCCCGCCAGCCTCTAACACGCCTTCTCTCACGTGCAACTCTTCTTCTGTGTCCACAGATCCCGCGGCCAATGCTGGCGGCAAGGTCTTGATCGCCGTGAACCACACCACGCCGGAGCTGTCGATCGTGGAGATCGGTTACCGGGCACACGTGCTCCACGGAGGTGTCGCGTACGAGTGGGGGCAGGTCAGCTTCCAGGTGGATGTGGGCGGCGGCAGTGACTCGCTGGCGACTGCGGTGGCAGCGACGGCGAAAGCAATGAAGACGCCTGCTGCTGCTGCTGCTGCTGCTGCTGCTGCTGCCTCCGGGAACGCTAGGTACCAGGCTGTCAACAACATCGGGTCCTCTCGTCCCCCGGAGCAAGAAGGCGGAGGAGGGGAGAAGCGTCGGGAACAAGACGGCGACTGGATGGTTGAGACACGCGTCGTGGAGCTCAAGAACCATTTCCCCGTCGCGATGCAGCTCCTGAGCCTGTCCATGGAGGACTGCCGGGACATCCTTTCGGTGAGCGGGGTGGACCCGACCTCGCCGGCCTCGGTGGCCCTCCCGCAAGCCTCTTGGGAGGGCGTCCGCCTCTCCTTCCGTCCATCCGCCGTTGCGGCGGCGGCGGCGGCGGAGGCGGCGAGAAGCGGCGGCGGTGACCGCGTGCAGTCATCACCGTCTTCCGCACCGCCAGCCCTGGAGCCAAAGCTTACCCCGGAGGAGGAAGCACGACTGCGCTCGTTGATGCACGATGGAGACGTTTTTTCTGCCATGGCGGTGGAAGACATGGGGGGCGACGGCGACGGCCGCTATCCGTCGCCGGACAACGAGCTAGCGTATCCGGTAGAGGGCGAGGAGGAGGAGGACGCGCGGGAGTCGATCCCCTCGGTGTCTGCAGATCAGCGCACCCTCGTGGAGAGGAGGCTGGCCGACATCCGTGATTCCCTGGAGGCAGCGGCGGCGGCGGCGGCGGCGAGAGAAGAAGTGTCCCCGCGTGTGGGAGACGACTCGCGGTCGAGTGAGGAGGAGGAAGAGGAGGAGGAGGAGGAGGGGAGCGGAGATAGCGGCGGGGTGGAAATGGGGTCACTCGGAAGATCGCTGCCGTTTACGTGCACCCTCAGGGCGGAGACGAACGCTTCGACCCACCAGATCCCAGTCTTCGTGTTCGACGGCAGCCTACACTACGGCTTCGTTGCGGACGGCGGTAGCGGCGGTGGGGCCGCCACCAAGAAGCGCAAAGAAGGCGGGGGATTTTTCGGAGGGGCGGATGTCAGGTCGGGATGGCCGAAGGCGTCGAAAGCGTCGCCGACGGTAGTTGCCGGACTCCCGCCGGATTCGAGGTGGGTATCGGTACCGCACCCCCGTTTCCGGGGGGGAAGGTGCTATTCTTGGGTTGCCATCGGTGATCCGACGGTGTTTTGTATCGATTGCGGAGAATGCTTGGAGGTACGGTCTACCTTAAAAATGCCGATCGTTTTCGATGTGTTTCGAGTCATGCAGTAGGAGTTGGTCGGGGGGGGGGGAGGGGGGCTCAGCAGACATGCAAAAGGGGTACCAATCTGCATCCCTGCGTTCGCCCCTGTTTAATACCAAGTGTTAATACACGTTTTCAATAGGCCAAGCTCCGCCTCACGGTAGCACTCTTTTACTATCTCGCCGCCTTCTCACCCCCCCTCGTTTCCCCCCCGCCGTACGGGCTTGGAACACCCCATATACCCAGGTCGGCATTCGTGAGGCCCCCTCGTGAGGCGAGCAGAAACGCCGGCAGCAAAGAAGCCGCCGCCGCCGCCGCCGCCGCCGCCGCCCCGTCGTCGTCATCACCGCCTTCGGCATCGGCCCCTCCAGAACCCCGACCTCTTGTGGTCGATCTCGGCATCATTCGCGCGGGAGCCACGGGCCGGCGTCGCTTCAACGTCACGAACCTCAACCCCGTGGAGGTTAACGTGACGAACACCGGCGGGGGGGGAGAGTTGCCGTTCGCGTCGCTGCGGCTTGTCGGCGTGGGGCCGCTGCCGCGAGCGCCGCAGGCTCTGTCGGAAATCGGTAGACACATCCAGGTGACTTGCTTGGGGGGGGGTGGTGACAAGTAGCTTTGGCTGTTGACGGGAGAAAAGTTCAGCGGTAACAAATAGTTTTGGTTGCTGCCAGACGTCAAATTCAATGTTTACAGGTAGTTCATACGGTGCCAATGTAATTGTTTTGGTTGCTGACGAGAGATCACTTTCATTGACTGCGCGCAAGCTGCCTGCTGGCAGAGGTGACGAAAAAGAAGGAGCGGAGGCGGTTTTGTGTCTGGGGAGATGCGGGGGGGAGCGGAGCCGGGTTTTGTCCTGGTTTCGCGTCCGCGGGGGGCCGACTCAAGACGATGGTGTTTATGCTCCGCCCGTCGTCATGCTTGGCCAGTATTGAAGCGATTGTTGTGTACAGCAGTTGATTTGTTGTTTGATTTTGCCCATGTCCTGCAATCAGTCCCAAGGGTCCTCCTCGTCCCTGCCGGTGCAGACGGTTCTTTTGCGGGCATTTTGTTGCGGGCATTACCGTAAGGGTGCGGGTCTCCGCACAGGGGTGTTAGCGTTTTTCAGAGCTTTCTTAGTCCGCAACTAGGAGGGTGCGGAGGCCAAACAACACGTCTAAGGAAAGACCTCGATGAGATAATTCCCAAACCGCCCTTTTCGGCAGTGTTGCCTTCCTAGTTGTCGAGTGGTGAAGCTTTGAAAAACGCTAACACCCCTGTGCGGAGACCCGCATCCTTACGGTATTATACGCAAGCACGACATGGTGAACAGTTGTCAGCGTTCTTCAGACATTGCTAACGCTTCCCCCCCCTCCCTCCCATCTGTCGCTTGTACGATGTCAGGCCCGCTCGCTCCAGAACACGGCCGCGGCCGCGGCGACGGCAGGCTCTGCCTGCCCCCCGACAGGCGGTGCGACCGCCGCTTCCGGGGCGACAGCAACGTCACCGGGCGGCGGCGGCGGCGGCGACAGCTGCAAGCACGCTCCCGACCGATCGTCTTCGGAAGCGGGGGGGCGCCGTGGATCGTCGCTACTTCCGCACAAGCTCGTGCGAGAGACGGTGGAGAAAGACGGACGGGTTTCCAACCGAGAGGCGGTTGTTTTGGGGGGTGACGCGGGGAAGAAGGCATGGGGGGGAGGGGGCACGCGACGGTCGAGGGGGCGCGGCGGGTCGCGGCAGGCGGCGGGGAAGGGCGGAGGCGAGGGGTACGTTTGCACGCTGGTGCCCGGGGCCACGGCTATGTTCGAGGTGGCCGCTACCGCGCCGGAGGAAGTGGTCGACGGGACTGTGAAGATGGAGGTGCGGTGTCACGTTTTTGGGCAGGTGGTTGTGAGAGAGGTGGTTGTGTTGGACTACTGCTGGGGGAGTGGTCAAGAAGTGCAAGTCGTCCCTTGCCGTCTTGGCGTAGAGAATGTCGAACCCAGACTGCTAGTGCCGTTCCGGTTTTGATTCTGTCTTTTTTAGTTCCTTGCAGCTGGCGGTTGTAAACGATGGGTCACTGGATGTTGTGTTTTTCCCCACCCTGGATGTGTGTTTCTCCACCACCCCATGGCGCCTGCGCAGGTGTCAGGCCTACAGCTCTCGACTCCCTTGGAGACGGTTCCCGTCCTGGTGACCTACAGCGCCATTTGCGGGGGAATATTTTTCCACGCTCCCGCCGTCGCCGGTGGCTCGTCCGCGCCATATGAACCTGGATCATCGTCGTCGCCGCCACTGCCACGAGTCCCCCACGGGGACCCCGCCGATGGGACGATTCGCGCATCCCACGTAACCCCCCCCGCCGTGGCGATACTCGACGCCGAAGATCAGGAGCAGCAGCAGCGGAGTTGTGGCGCAGTGAGAGGAAGAAAAGGCCAGGCTGCTGCTGCTGCTGCTGCGGCGGCGGCGGCGGCGCAGTCGGTCGAAGCGGCGCAATTGGAACAGGAAGACGGCGGAGCATTAACCGTTCGCCTGGACGATGCCTTTCCCGGAAAAGTGACGGTTTCGCCCGTGTCCCTCCGCTCGACGGCGGCGTGGGAGGGCCGCGTGGAGGGCATGGAGTCCAGCGGTCCCCTGATCAAGGCGACCCTGGCACGGAGAGACGTGCCGGGGGTGTCAGTCGGAGGGGGCGGAGAGGGGACGGCGGCTGGTGTCCCCGGGGCTATCGCCGCCCACCCTGCTGTCGTGGAGGTGAGAGAGGCGTGCTCCGTAAGCGGGGTGATGGCTGATGGTGATAGAAGCCCCTGCGGGTTTCTTGCTCTACTGCTGTACCCCTGGATTTTGCTGCGCATGTGGTATTCCTGCTACGTCGCAAGGTGTAGGCATGCGGTTCAAGGGCTCGTCGCCTTTCGTGTTGTATGGATTTATGCGTATGTGTGCGCACGTTTGTTGTTGTTGATGTTTCTCGCGTGAATCAATTACCTGGGATTGGAGAATTTTCATACAATCACAGAAATACTACAAGTTAAAGATGGTACGCTGTACGAAGAGGGTGTGTTAAGCCTTAGCAGTGAGTGGGACAAAAGCGACGTTTGTGTGCGTTTCTTTTTTGCCTCGGGGCAGGTGGGACACGTGGAGTACGATGCCGCCAGGGACTGCGCGGAAGTGAACGCGTGGACCTGCCTCGCGAGAACGGTGGAGGAGGCTAGCTATCGTCGGCGCAACAGTCAGGGCGGGAGCGGCGGTGGTGGAGACAGCGCCGCCCTGCTGCACGAAAAACAGCGCCAAGACCGTGCCGGAGGCGAGGAGTTGGAGCTGACGTTGATGAGGTGCGAACATGTCTGCTCCCCCCTGTCCTGGGTCGTGTGTGCCTTGGAATGAACCCCCCTTCGATGGCAAGCCCTTCTTGAACCGCGTGGCATACCTATTCCACCGGTATCGGTGCTTGTTGGCAGGCATGGCATAATTTGTTTTTTTCTCCGTTGTCGAGGCTGTTGCTGACTGGATTCCCGTCAACGAAATCGGGCGTTATTTGCTCACTGCCTCGTGCTTTGCTTTTGGGGTTCGCCTCTGTAGCGAGTAGACACGATGGTCGTTAGCAAGAGGTTCGGCATCGCTGGCCGAGCGTCGAAAACATCACCGGCTGTGTTGGACAACATTGAAGAACACCCGCACCCTAAGCATTTTTTGGGTCCTTTCTCCAACACACGGAATCGATCTCGATCGCCTCGTGTACAGGCTAGTGGAAGCTCTTCACGACGACTCGCGCGTCATGTACCAGAGCGCCCCGCAGCAAGACAACGCCTCTCCCTCCTCAGGCGGGAAACCCGGGGATGGCCTCGCCACGTATCGCTGCGGCGAGGGCCACGTGATCACGGTCGAAATGGAGGACCCCAGCCTAGATTCGGAGCTGGAAGGCTGTGACGAGCCCCGCTTCGTCGCCGGGGCGGGGAAGGCGCTGGCCGCGGCGAGCTGGAGGGACGGGCACGGCGGGTTGGGGCTCGGTGGGCACGGAGCGGCCTCCGTCAACGACAGGTCGACCGCAGCCGCGAAAGAGCTGTGGGGGCTCTTGCCCTCTATCGCGGCGTCCGGGCTTAACCGGTTCCGCGAGGAGGTCTCGGTGAGCACGACCCTGGGACCAGCGGCGAGGCCGCTGGAGGTTTTGGTGTCGTTGACGGTGCCGCGGCTGGTAGTCGGGGTCGCGGCGTCGGAGGGTGCGGCGCCTTGCCCTCACGCCGCAGAGGCGGCGGCGAATCGGAGGGCAAGCGAGGGTTGCGGTGGTGCTGCTGCTGCCGCCTGCGCTAGTAGTGGTTGCCCGTGCGACCAGAAGCGCGGGAGCCGTCCTGGCTATGGCGGCCACGGCGTGCCGGTTCTCCGGTTCCCGCTCACGCAGGTCGGAGAGGAGCGCGACGTATTCGTGGAGGTCGCCAACCCGGCCGACGTTCCCGTCAGCGTGCAGCTCTCCGTCGGCAAGACCGACTCCCTCGCGTGGAAGGAGCTGGGTAAGGGGGACGACAAAGCGCCGGCCGCCACCGTCATCGCTGTCGGAATCGACGTCTCAAGCTTCGCACGCCAGCAGCAGCAGGTCCGCCACAAGGGGGCGGGAGAGATCTCGGCGTTCCACGTGCGCGTGGGCGCGTTCCCGGCCCTGGTGCTGCCGCCTGGCGGGGCCGCGACGATCGGGCCGCTGCGGTTTACGCCGGCGCGGATGGGAACCTTCTCGGCGCACGTCTACCTCCGGAACAACCTGACCCACCTGGAGCCCGTGCGACTGGAGGGCGAGGCCGGGGTGGGGCTTCTCTCCGTCCGCCCGTGGGAGGGCGGCGGTGCGAGGCCGGGCCGTGTTGTCGTTGGCGCTGCTTCAACGGTGCCGGAGCCGGACGGGGGCTTGACGGAAGCGTCGCGCTTTGGGAGGGGGGGAAACGCTGATGCCACCGATGCCACCTTGGGGCAGCAGCAGAAGGAGGAGGAAGGGCAAGAGGCCCACGCCCAGCAAGAAAAGGGGGAGGAGCAGCGGCAACACCACCCACGGCCGCCAGCGCTAGAAGTGGAACGCTTTCCGGTGAACTTTCGGTCGTGGGCGAAGTCCCCGCCCACCACGGCTCCCGTGGTTCGGCGGTGGGTGCTGTCGAACGAGGGGACCATGCCGCTGGTGGTGCACGATGTCGGGATACGCAGAACCGGGGCGAGCGGCTGGGGCTGGGGCTGGGGCTGGGGCTGGGGCTGGGGCAGACGGGGTGCTGGTAGCCAGGGCCCAAGCGGTAGGGGCAGCTGGTTTGGGAGGCGGTGGCGGGCTTTGTTAGGCGGCGGCGGCGGCGGCGGCAACAACGCTGAACGAGACGTGTCGTCTTCGATGTGGGGTCTTTGGGGAGCGGTGTCGGCCGCGCCCGCGACAACAGCCGCCGCAGGGGGAGGAGGGAGCATCGCCTCCTCGGTTCTGTGCGCGGACGGCGGATTCCGGGTGCTGGGAGAGGCGTGCCAGGACCGGTGGCGGCCGAAGACCCTCCTACCGGGGCAGGAGATGGAGGTGGCGGTGAACTACTCGGCGGAGCACTGCGAGCCCGTGGGGCGCACCCTCGACTTCGTGTCCTCCGCAGGCACCGCCTCGATACGGATGGAAGCGTCCGCGTCCGGCGGACCCTCCGCCGTTGCCGCTTGCAAGAGCGCCAGGCGCGCGGCTGCAGCGGCGGCGGCGGCGGCGGCGGGGTTGGCGGGCGGGGGCAAAGGGAAGGCGTCTGATGGTGGCGGTGGCGGTGCCGGTTCCGACGGCAGCGGGGGCGGGGGCGGGGACGGCGACGCGCGGTGGAGCCGGGCGTGGCTGCTCGTCAAGACCGTGGTGTTCGCGGGCGCTCTCTACACGGGGTGGTGCGCGTTGCTGGGCGTCGGGCCAGAGTTATCGCAGCTCCTGGGCTTGGCGAGGCGGGCGCGGGCGCGCGCGGCCGGCTGCTACGCCGCCCTCGCCGAGGGCTGCGGCAGGATCGCGGTGTTGGTGGAGGTGCGCGCCTCTGCGGCGGTTGTGGTGTCGCCGCCGTCGGATCCGTTGTCATCGTCGGAGGTGTCCCGGTCATGCTTAGAGGGCAGCGAGGAATGCAGCGGTACTATTCCCGGGACCTCGTCAGATTCGGCGGCGGCGGCGGCGACTGCGCCCCGGCGCCGCGAAGAAGGCGAGACGTCTGTGCCCGGCAACGGGAAGCAGCGAGACTCGGCGGGGAAGGGCAAGCGCGCGGCGACGGCGGCGGCGTCTCGATGCGACGGCTGCAGCTCGGTCGGACCGGCACCCGGCGGGCAAGACGACTCCCCTGTCGACTCCGGCGCAAGAAGAGTTGATGCGGGAAAGACCCACGAGGGTGCCAAGACGGCTGGCGCGGGCGGCGGCGGTGGCGCATCATCCGGCAGTCGTAGTCTGGCATCATCATCATCATCCACCGCTGCTTCTACCGTAGGGGTTCTCGCGTCCCCTGGACGAGCCAGCAAGCCTCAGACGAGCCGCCAGACAGGGGAGAAGAATCGGATACCGGCAGACCAGCAGCAGCAGCAGCAGCTGTCTTGGACGACGGCGAAGCGAGAGCAGGCCGACGATACCCACCGGCAGCAGCAGCAGCAGCAGCAGCAGCACCGGCGGCCGCCCCAAGCCGTGGTGACAAGCACTGGTCACCAGCAAAACCAGCAGCAGCGAGGGCATCCACGGGCGGTGGCTGCTGCAGCGGCGATGGTCGCGCCGGCGGCCCCGTCGTCGTCGGCAGCCTCGCTCTTAGCCCAGCACGCCAGGCGCGGTAAAGGCGGCGCCGGGGCCAACGGCGCTGGGGGTCCGTCCCCATCCTCCGCACCGTCGCCATTTCAGCAGAGGAAGGGCAACGGGGGTCGTGGTGGCGGCGGCGGCGGCGGCTACCCGCACCACCGAGGGCCCGGCGGTGGCAGCGGCTACGGAGGAGGGAACAGGGGACAGCACCAGCACCAGCAGCACCAGTGGGTGTCGTCATCATCGCACCACGGTAACTGGTCTCCCGGTCGCGGCGGCGGCGGCGGCGGCGGCGGCGGCGGCGCCAGGGGGCCGCTGCCGCACGGGCGGATGTCTTCGCCGAACTCGTCCCCGCGGTTCCCGTCCTCGTCTCCTGGCTCTCCCCACCTCCCCGCCCTTTCCTCTCCGGCTGCTGCCTCTGCGTCCATGGGGGTTGTTGCGGGCCCGGACAACAACAGCCGAGGCGGTCGCCAGCAGCACCAGCCGTACCGTAGCCGCCCGTCAGGAGGAGGAGATATGTACGTCGGGCGGCGTGGCGGAGGAGAGTTCCGGAACGGCGGGCACGCCAACGCCCCGGCAGGGGACGGCAGCGCCCGTACCGCCGCCCCCGCCATGAGGACGGCGACGTTCGCCCCGGGCGCTTTTGCTGGGCAAGGGTCGGCGGCGGCGGCGGCGACGTCTTCGAGGTTCGGGCCCCGCCCAACGGGACCGGTCAAGACAAACGCTGTCCCGCCTTCCTCCGGCGGCGGCAACGCTACGCGCTCGTCAGGGACTGGTTGGTTGGGCGTGGAAGCTGGTGGCGTGGAGCCGTTTCAGAGGCCCCTGTGGGCGTCCTCCGAGAGCAGCAATCAGCAGCAGCGGAGTCCCGCGCTGGGTCCCACACGCGCCCCCCCGCTCGCCCGCGGCAGCGGTGGCATCGGTGCCTCCCCGACGCTGACCGGCTTGCACGCTTCCCCTCCGCTGGCGCCGATCGGAAGCAACCGTCACCGACGGCAGTCTTCGGACGGGTCGGGGTCTTCGCTATCTCGCGCCATCGATGCTCCTGGCGGCAGCAGCCGACGATCCCCACCGGGGCTTCCGCCCCCTCCCGCGCAGCAGCGGCAGCAGCAGCAGCAGCCCATGGGCTCTTTGCTCGGCGCGCTAGGAGCGGTGGCAGCGGCGCCGCCCTCGGCGGGGCGTGATCCGGACCTGGACAACCTCGAAACGTTCGCGACGGCTTCGGCGGTGGCCGCGGGCGTCTTGGACATCGCAGCCGGGGAGGGCGGCGGCCCAACGGTCCCGCTGGAGCGGTGCAACGAAAGGACTCACCCGGCCGCCTCCCTCGATGCGGGCACCGCGGCAGAGGACGACGCTCGGAATGGACGCTCTTTCTCGGTCCCCAGCATGTACTTCGGGCAGCAGCACGCCGCTTCCCCACCTGCTGCTGCTGCTGCTGCTGCAGCCGCGAATGGCTCGCAGTACGGCAGGCAGCAAGGCGTGGCGTTTGGCGCTGCCGGCTCGCCCGCAACCGGTGTCTTTGACGAGGCCATCATCGGCGCACAGCAGAGCCGCTTTGCTTTCCACCAGAGGGGGAGGGGAGGCCTAGCGCCTGCGAGGACCGTTGGTGGCGCCGGCCCCGCCGCCGCCGCGGCCGCCAGCGGAGGGAGCCGTCTTGGATTCTACATGTCGGCGGGTGGCAGCGGCGGCGGCGGCGGCGGCGGCGGTGGCGGGAGCGCGGACGATGTTTTTGGCTCCATGAACGACGGCGATCAAAAGTAGCCAGTAGCCATGAGGGCCGTCAAGTTAGAAGGACGGGGCGGGGAGGGGTGAACAGCAACCGGATGGAGCGCTTTCCCTTTTCATCTTTTAGGAAGAGATGTAAGCACCACCGCACCAACCACTGTTCGCGTTTGGCGTGCATGATGATCTGGTGGTGGTTTTCTGGAGCAGCGTGCTGTTGGTGTCTTCGAAGAGCGGGAATGAAAGGAGGCATTGCTGCGCAGATGAGGAGTCGGGTCGTGAGGCGTATAGGGGCATTCGGCCTTCCTCAGAAGCC